CGCACAGGCGGGGCCCCGGAGCCCGAAGGTGGCCCCAGCTGCTGAGGGCGCGAGGAACGGGGCGACTGCTAATGCCGCCGGCTCTTTGCGGATGGTGGAAGGGTCCTCTAGATGAGAGCCCCGGGCCCCGCGGCGGCCGCACAACTCCCGACGCTCCACGCGCAGCCTGCGCGGGCGAACCTGGGGCTGCTGAATCATAGCTCAAAAAAGCTTCTTTATACAGCGAACCCCGGGGCGTCTAAGTGCTGGTCATTTGCCCCTTGCCTGCGGGTTTCAGAACGAGATGGCTAGAGGGGTCTGGGTCCAGAAGGCTCTGCGGGCCTCCTCGACCGGACGCGGCCTCGCTGTCAGCCTGGGAGCAGGGGCCGCCCAAGTCTCTCGGCTCTCGCCGGTGTACCCCACGGCCCCGCCACTCCCCGTGCCTTCCTGCTCCCATCTTACCTCCCGTCTCTTCTTGACAAACAGCCCCTTACCTTGAAGCCTGCGTGGGACGTCGCTGGGGTTTTCTTCCCTGGGAATTCCAAGCTTGGCCTCATGGCTAAAGCCAGAGCCGGAGAAACTGCGGAGGCCCAGGAGGGGCTAGAGCTTCCAGAAGCCGCTTCCCGCACCCCAGCCCCACCTGCAGCTGTGGGGAAGCACCGGGCCCAGGCCTGGAATCAGAGGAGTGGCAGGGTCAGGAGGGGCTTGGACCTGCTCCCATCCATGCCAGCCTGGGGAATCCCAGCCTAGCCAGAACCCCAGCGGGCCCCAGGGGGTCCCAGCAGGCCCACCGCTGGCCAAGGTCTGCGCCCAGGGTCCCGGGAAGCGCTGGGTATTTTCTCTTGCTCTGATTCTCAGAAAATGGACCCTCAGGACTTAGGGGGGGAAAAAAAAAAAGCCCAACAACCAGCCTAGCCAGCTTAGGGTCCTCTTCCTACCCCCCAAGTCCTCTGGATTCTGCTCCCACTGGGCGGTGCTGGCCGCAGCCACCCACCGGTCTGGGGTAACAAGGGAAGGGCGCAACCCCGGAGGGCTGCAGCTCCCCCTCTCCCGAGAAGGCATAGTGGTCCCTGGTCACCTCCTCCGCAGGGACAGTCACGCCATCAGGGACGCTCGCGCCTGAGCGCCCTCCCTGCCGCCTGCGCGCGGGCGTCATGACTCCAGCAGCACAGCCCTCCCGAGGAAGCAAAAGCACCCCGTTCCTCGCGCAGGGAGCGGGGTGGGGGCCTGTCCCCGAGCCTGGCGGCGGCGCGCCCCGGGAGGTGGCACGCGCTGGGCGGCCGCGGTGCGCGCCTCCTCCAGCCATTACGGTAGCGCGGCGCGGGCACCACGTGGCGGGGGCCCGGCCGGCGGGAATGCGCGGAATGCGCGGCGCGGGGGGCGCAGCTCCCCAGCCGGGGCCGGGGTCCGCAGCGCGCGCTCCCGCCGCCCCGCTCTCCCCGCGCGGCGCCCCCCGGCCCCGGGCCCCGGCGCCAGGACGCGCAGGGCGGATCGGGCCGGGTGGGGGCCGGGGCAGAGGCCGGGGCGCACGAGGCGCGGCGCGGGGTGTCGGGCGCACCGCCGCTGTGCCTGCGCCGCCCCTGGCGAGGGTCGGGGCCCTGGGGCTCGAGGGCCTCCTGGTCAGCACCCGGCCGCCCCCCCAGGGCCACGGCGAGGATAGGCGTTTGGGGGCGCTTCAAGGGCAGAGGAAAGCAGGGTGGCGGGGTGCGAGAGTGCGGGGTCCCCCCGGCCGGCTGTGGCGCGCCCGGGCAGTGACAAATCCTGGCCCCCCCCCCCCCCGCGGGAAGCGACGGGGTGTCCTGGCGTCGGTTCCGCCCCTCATGTCTGCTCCGCGCACCCCCACCGCGGCTCGCGAGGCCCGCAGCGGCGCCCTGCACCCCGGTCCCGGCCTCGGGGGGCGCGGCGTGGCCACGGGACGCGGAGGGGACGCGGACGCGGCGCCCTCGGTCGTCACCCCCGCCCCCCGACCTCCGCTTGGTTGGGGCGATCATCTTCTCACCCTGGTGCCCACCCCCCGTCGCCGGGTCAGCGCCGGGTTCCTGTTCCTCGGGGCGCAGGCGATGCGGTTTGAGGGGCGCGGGTCGAGGCTTGGACTCGCCCCCACGGGAGCATTTTCCCCAGGGATCCCCGAGGCGTCGCGGGAGCCAGCCCCTCCCCAACCACTTGGGGTTTGCTTTGGAACCCCCGCACACACCTCGCCCGGCTCCCGCGGCCTGGGCGCCCCGAGACTGGGCGCGTGGGGGGCGCAGCCTGCGCGTGGCCGGACGAACGGACCGAGGTGCAGACGCGCGCGCCACTCGCGACGGGAGGGGCCCCAGCCACGTCCCGCCCCTCTGGGGCGCGGGGATTCGCGCCGCGGGGTCGGGGTGCCAGTAGCGCGGCACGTGGGGCGCCACAGGCGGCCACAAGGCGAGCCCTGTGCGGTAAGGGGAGCCCGAGCGCCCCCGGAACCCCGCGGCCCGCTTTCGGAAGCGTTTTCCAAGGCGACTTAAGGGCTTAGCGGGGGAACCTGGCGGGGCCGGGCCGAGGCCTTTCAAGTCGCCGCCAGGTGTGCGGCTGCAGGTGACCCCACCTGTGCGCCCCCCCCGCGCCGCCCCCGTCCTCTCCGCGAGGGGGGGCGCGGGGGGTCCACGCCTCGGGAAGTCTCCCCGCGCCCTGCACCCCCTCCCGAGCCCCCCCGCCCCGAGGGGCTCGCGCGGCCGCGGCCCGGCCCCGTGAATGGGCGCGCGCCCGCCGCGCGAGGGGAGGTGCCCGCGGCCGGGACGGGGCGGACGCGCCGCGCGCGGATCCCCCCCTGGGCTCGGGGGGCGCCGCAGAGTCCCCCAGCCCGTCCTCGCGGCTCCCGCGCCCCGACGCCGGCGCCGGCCCTTTGTGTCCGCGGGGCGCCGGGGTGGGGGGCAGCGCGGGAGCCGAGCCCGGAGCCCGCGGGGTCCGCGTCGGGGCGGGTTTTTGGGGTGTTTTGGGTTTTTTTAAGACAGTGCGAACTCTGGACTGCGCCGGGAAAGGCTCCGAACGCTGCGCTTCGCCTTAAAGATGAAGCCAGAAAGCGCGCCGCTGCCCGCCCCGAGCGGCCGCCCCCCGCGCCCCGCGGCCGTCGGCCCTCGCGAGGCCCGGGGGACCCGAGGGGCGCCCCCGCGGGGCCCCACATTCCAGCGCCCGCCCCCCGCGCGGGGTCGCGGCCGGCCCTTCGCTCCCGGCCGGGCCTGCACTTTTGCGCCCGTCCCTGGGCGGGGCTCCCCGAGATCTGCCCGCGCCGCCTGGCAACAGCGCGGCGCCCCCATTGGCTCATGCTAATTCCACCCCCGCGGCCGCGCGCGGCCGGGCGGGGGGCGCCCCCGGGCCCGGAGCCCCCTTCGGCCCGGGCGGGCGAGCCTCCCGGCGCCCCGCGGGCCCTCGCCGCCCCCGGGGCCCGCGCCCCGCGCCCCGGGCCGGCTCCGCGCGGCGGCAGCGCGCAGCCCCGTAAATCAGCGGGGCGGCCGCCGGGCCCGGATTTTATGAATGAAGCGCGGCCGGGGCGCCGCGTGCGCGAGGCTGCTGCGAGGCTCCGCGGGCGCGGGCGCCGGTGCCCCCGGGCTCTCGGGGGGCGCCCCGCGCCCGGCCACCCACCGCCTCCGAGGCCGGCGCGGGGCCGTCGCCCCCCGGACCGGGCTGTTAGCACCCCGAGTTCCCGGTGGGGGAGGGGCCGCGGGAAGCGTCTCTCCCGACAGCGGGGTGCGGCTCGCGCCCTGCAGACGAGGCCGGGGCGCTGCACCCACCCCCGGGCCCCCCGCGGCTGCAGCCGCGGGGCTCGCGGGCACCGGCCTCGGAGAGACGCCGGCGGTGTCGCCCCTTGGGGCGGGGGGCGCAGGACACTGGAGGGTGGACACTGGGCGAAACGTCTTCCAAAGCCGCCAAGACACGGGCTCTGCAACTTAGAGCGCTTTATTCTTTTATGGGTCTCTGGGGTAATATCGGGGACCCTCCCCGAGCACCCCATGTGTAGACCTTGTGTCAGTCACCAGGTCGGCACCCCATTCCCTGCGCCTCCAACTGCCCGCCCTTCCCGGCCCCCCGCGCGCGAGCGCAGCCCCAGGGCGCGTCCCCCCGGCGCGGCGCGCACCCCGGCCCGGCCAATTAGGCGCTTCCGGTGGTCCCGGCCGGGGCGGCCGCGCCGTGTCCAGCGGTTTGTTATTTTTTTTTTTAATTTAAAAAATGAGACCGGACAGAGGCCGGGGTTTCCGCAGCCTCCGAGGGTCTCTCCAGCCGCTGCACGCCGGGCGGGGGCGGGGGGCTGGAGACCCCGGCCGGGGCGCGCGGGCCGGGCAGAGAGGGCGGCGGGCAGCTCCCCGCGCGCGAGGGCGGGAGGGAGGAAATGCCGGCCACCATCTTGGGCTGCGGCTGGAATTTTCGGGCATATATTTTATCTTATTTTTTGAAGCGGCACATGCTAGGCTGAAACCCCTCCGGCGTCCAGGGTCGCCCCCGCGGGCACTGGCGACGACCCCCCCGTGCGCCGGATCGAGCCTCCGCGCAGGCTCGAGCCCTGCCCCGCGGCCCGGCGGGCTCAGCGGCTCCTGAAATCTGCACGTGGCCACGAAAACGAAAGAGGAGCAGCCGCGGCGGCCGGGCCGCCCTGCGCCCGTGGGTGCCCGCGTGGCGCGCTCGGAGGTGCGCGCATCCTCGGGCTCAGCCCCCGGGCCCGGCCCCGCGGCCCCCGCCCCGCGGGCTCCCCGGCTGCGTGTGGCCCGCCCGCCCGCCCGGGCGTCCCCGCTGCAGAGCCGCTGCCATCCCACCCCCCAAGTCCCGGGGGGCCCACTCGGGGCGGGCGCCCCCCGCGCCCCCTCTCCCCCGGCGGGGAGCGAGGCCGCCTCGGGGCGATTTGCATTTCTATGAAAACCGGGCTGGGGGCCCTCGGCCGCGGGGCCGGCGCGGCGCCTCGGGACGGCTTTTGGGTCTGCCCCTCGCCGCGCCCCGCGCCGCCCCGCGCCCCCGCCCCCGCGCCCGCCCGCCCGCCCGCGCGCATTCTCCGCCCGGCTTTGATCTCCGCTTAACAACAGTAACGTCACGCGGCTCCAGGGGAGTTTTGTTGGAAGTTGCAAAGTCCTGGAGCCTCCAGAGGCCGTCGGCGCAGCAGCAGCGAGCAGCAGCTCCGCGCGCTCCGGCCGGCGCCACAGGAGCCCGAGGAGCGCGGGCCGCAGGCGCCCCGCGAGCGCGTACCCGGCCGCCCCGCCGCCCCGGCCCGAGCCGCCCGGCCATGGCGCACCAGCTCCTGTGCTGCGAGGCCGAGTCCGTCCGCCGGGCGTACCCCGATGCCAACCTGCTGAGCGACCGGGTGCTGCGCGCCATGCTCAAGGCGGAGGAGACCTGCGCGCCCTCGGTGTCCTACTTCAAGTGCGTGCAGAAGGAGATCCTGCCGTCCATGCGGAAGGTCGTGGCCACCTGGATGCTGGAGGTGCGCGCGCGGGCGGCTCTCCGCGGACTCCCTGCCACTTGTTGCCCAAACCCGCATTTCCCGGCCACCCACCGCCCTCGTGCGCCCCCCGCCCCGGCGCTCCCCTGCGCGGGACGGCGCCGGAGGCGGCTTTTCGGGCCGTGGATGGCGAGCGCGCGTGCTTTCTCGGCCGGTGGGGGTGGGGGCGCAGAAAGGCCCCTTCCTGGGGGGAGGGGTGCCGTCCAGGAGGGGTCCCTTGGGGGGAGGCCCGCGCCCGGGGGCGCCCCGCTCGGCCTGCAGGAGCGGGCCGGGCGCTCGGGCAGCGCGGTGGCCCCCGCCGGGGCAGCCGGGTCCGCGTCGGAGCCCCGCGCGCCGCCGCCCGGGGAGGGCGCAGACGGGGTTCGTTTCCAAATTAATACCATGGACACGTATGCACGGGCCGCCCGTGCCAGTATTATGCGCCATCTTTGTTCTTTTATTGCAAAGCAAAAGTGTTTATTAATAATTGGGGGCCGGGTGGGGGCGGGGAGAGGCCCGCGAGGCGCGGGGGCCGCCGCGAGGGGCCGCGCGGCCGCCGGGAGCCGGCGCGGGGGGGGGCGCCGGGCCGGGGCGCCGGCGGGCCGGGGCACCCCCCTCGGGAGAGGAGGCCCCTTTGTTCGGGGAGCGAGTCCCGGGGCGCCCGGGCCGGGGAGCGCGCCGGGCTGCGAGGTCGGGCGGCCCCGGGACGCGGGGAGTCGTCCTCGCGCGGGGGCCCGGCGCGGGGGGCCTGTGCGCGGCGAGCTGGGGGTCCCCGCGCCTTTTCAGACCCGCAGCGGGCGCCGGGGCCGCCCGCGAGGATTTTAAAGTCATTTTTGGAAGCGCGGCGCGGGGCCCTGGCGAGAGGCGAGCGGCGCCTGCCCGGGGAGGGGGGCGCCCGAGTTTGAATTCCTGGGGCGCGCCCCAGCGCCTGCAGCGAGCTCCCGACCCCCGGCCCGGGTGGCGGGTCGCCCGGGGGTCATTTTCAGGGGGTTCTTAGGCGCCCAGTTATTTTTTTTATATTTTTAAATATTTTTTGAAAAGATGACGTCTGGGGAAATGCGGCGCGGCCTGGACGCCACCTTTGTGTCTGCGCGCGCGGCGGCGCCCCGCGGCCCGCACCCCTGGGGCCCGCACCCCTCGGGGCCGACCGCGGGCCGGGCGGGCCGGGGGCCCCGGGGCCGCCTCCCGCCGGGCGCGCCCCGCCCGCGCGCCCCCGCCGCGCCGGCCCGCGGGAGTTTCCCTTTCAGTTTCGGGGCGGGGGTGGCGGGGCGCGGGGCGCGCGGTGACGGCGCCCGCCCGCAGGTGTGCGAGGAGCAGAAGTGCGAGGAGGAGGTCTTCCCGCTGGCCATGAACTACCTGGACCGCTTCCTGTCGCTCGAGCCGCTCGCGAAGAGCCGCCTGCAGCTGCTCGGGGCCACCTGCATGTTCGTGGCCTCCAAGATGAAGGAGACCATCCCGCTGACGGCCGACAAGCTCTGCATCTACACCGACAACTCCATCCGGCCCGCCGAGCTGCTGGTACCCGCGCCCCGGGCCCGGGCCCGGCCCCCGGGGGGCGGGGGGGGCCCGCGGTGGCGCGCGGAGGCCGGCAAGGCGCCCCCGAGGGGGCCGGCCACGCCGCCCCGCCGCGCTCCGGCCGCGGCGCCCACCCGGTCTGCGCCCCTAGAGCCGCCGAAAAGTGGGCGGCGAGCGCCTCCTAGCGGCCGCGCGGGCCCTGCGCGCCAGGTGTGGGGCCCCCGGGGCTCCCCAGCACCGTCCCCAGCAGCCGCCTCTTGCAGCGCACCTCCTGCTGTGCTCTGGGGTCCCGAGGCGCGCCCCACTTCCCGGGCCCCGCAACAGCCCCTTTTCCTCCTCCCCAGGCCTCCCTGTCCCTCTGGCTGGGTCCCCCCAGGCCTGCCCTTGTTCCTCTCTTCATGCTTGTTGCCCCCCCTCTCCTGCAGCAAATGGAGCTGCTCCTGGTGAACAAACTCAAGTGGAACCTGGCGGCCATGACCCCCCACGATTTCATCGAGCACTTCCTCTCCAAAATGCCGGTGGCCGAGGAGAGCAAACAGATCATCCGCAAACACGCGCAGACCTTCGTCGCCCTCTGCGCCACAGGTACGCCGGGCAGCTGCGCGCCCCGCCTCGGTCTCCCCGCGAGGGCACAGCTCCAGGCCCCTCCTGCTCTCCCAGGGTCCTGCTCTGCAGAGGGCTTGGCGGTTTTTGTGGGGGCTGGATGGGGACCCCATGTCCCCCCTTCTGGGCTTGGCCCGGCCTGGTGGCTCCGGGATGAAAGGGGCGCCCCCGGTGGCCACGCCTGCTTCCCACCCCCCAGCAGCCCTCCTGGTGTCCAGAGCTGCTGGCCCCCTGCTGGCCTCTCCCAGGCTGGGGCGCCTGCAGGGGTGAGGAGCACTGCAGCCTGTGCCACGTGCCCGGCCGCCTCCGGCAGTGGCCTGCAGAGGAGCCCGGGGCCCACCGCCGGGCAGACCTGGGAGAACGGCTGTGCAGGGAGCTGGGCTGGGGCGGCAGTGACTGGCAGCAGGGGGGCCACCCTCCTGCCCCCACAGCTGGCCTTTCGGAGCCCAGTGGGTGATGTCAAGTTGGGGTGGCCTCGCCCCTTGCTTCCACCTGCTCAGTGTGAGCCCGTTGTTCCAAGAGGAGGTCTCTCTTACCAGGTGACCTCTGCCTCCTCGGGGGCCAGCCCTGCAGGTGGCCAGGGAGGCTGGGATGCCTTCGAGGACAGAGGCCTCCAGAGAGGCGCAGCCAGCCTTACCCGGAGCCGACCGCGGCTTGGAGATGGCAGCGTCTCCTGGAGAGGGGGCACAGCAAGCTTCCTGCACACCCGCCCCAGGGTGCCCCTGTGGCCAGGCGACCCCCTCCCGGGACCAGGGGAGCCCGGCTGGAGGCTGCCCAGCCAACCTGTCACTGCTCTGCAGTGCGGCCTGTGGGGGCAGCTCCTCCAGGGGGCCCCGGCCCTGCCCCCCACTGCCCTGCCCCGAGCCCACTAAGGGCCCCTCTGGGGATGACAGTGACTCGTCACAGCCCAGGTCAGGGCTGCAGGGTTTAGGGTGCAAGTAAACGTCCCTGTGCGCGGCGGGGCGCTCGGCTCCTGCACCCGGGGTGCCCAAGGTGCCCAGGGCTGGGTTTGCGTTGGCCCCAGGGGCCAGGTGGCCTGTGCCGTCAGGGTTGGCGCACAGTGCGGGTCATTGAGCGGGTGGCATCGCTGCCACCCGGCCCTAGTGGTCACAGTGGCCCTCGGCTCTTCACTGCAGGGAGCCCGGAGCCCCGAGAGCATGTGTGAGCGCCCGCCTGCCCTCCTGGGGAGCTGGGCACAGACCCAGCCCGGCCCGACTGTCCCTCTGCTGTGCTGCCCTCTTAGGCAGGGTCCGGAGGCTCCGCGATTCCGTGGGTGTCCCAGTTTATCATGACGAGCTTGCTCTCAGACCCCCCTTTACTGGGGGAAGGGGCGCCTTGGCAGGTGTCTCTGCCAGCCTCGCAGTGCCCGGCAGCAGCTGTCCCCCACAGCGGCTGCCCGGCCTCCCGCCCCGGCCCACAGGAGCCTTTGGTTGAACAGCCCGAGTGATGGCCGCTCCGTATAAAGCCCAGACGCCTGGTCTGGGGGATGGCGGAGAGCCCTCGGGGCCCCTCCATACCGCCAGGGAGCCCCGCGGCCTAGCACACACCGGGCAAGAGGAGGCAGAGGCCTGACCCCGCCACGCCGCAGCCCAGCACCTGGTCACGCAGCCGGGGCTCTCGCCTCCCCGCCCACCGCAGGGGCTTGCGGCTCCCAGACTGCCGCGCTGTCCTTGCCAGCGGCCCTGGGAGGAAAAGCAGACCTGCCGCTGGGCCCCCCGGGGTCCCGAGTCTCCCCACTCCCTGTGGGGCCCCAGAGGCTGCAGGAAGGGCAGGCGCGTGCCCACTGCGCCCCCTGCAGGCCGGCGGCGGTGCAGCACCCGTGGGGGCACCCCCGCTGGAGAGGGGCTTGGCAGCGGGCGCTGGGCAGGGCCCCCGCAGAGCCGCCAGTCTCCAGGCCGGGCTGCGTGCTCTTGTCGGTGGCGCGTCCACGGGGCTCAGAAGGCTAAAGGCCGGCCCGACCGTCCGCCTCGCCGCCTGGTCCCCGCCGCCACTCCTGTCGTGTCCGAGCGACCGCCGGCCCGTGGGGGCCAGGCCCGAGCTGGCCGCGAGGGGCCGCGCACCTTCCTGAACGTTCTCTCCCGAGACGCGCACGGGGCCTGACGCTGCTGGGGGGTCGCGCACCCGGGCGCGGCTCCGCTCACAGGCCCGCCTCTCTGCTGCAGACGTGAAGTTCATCTCCCACCCGCCCTCCATGGTGGCCGCCGGGAGCGTGGTGGCCGCGGTGCAGGGCCTGCACCTGGGGGGCACCGGCAGCCAGCTGTCCTGCCACCGCCTCGCCCGCTTCTTGTCCAAGGTGATTAAGTGTGACCCGGTAAGTGACCGCCGTGTCGCCCCTGGGGGCAGAACCGTCCAGAAGGGGGGGCAGTGCCAAGGCCCCAGGGGAGTGTGCTGGGCTCTTGGGGGTCCCGGCTTCACCCACCTGACCCCCTCCCCGGACTTGGGGACTGCACCTGAGGGTCCTCGCTGCCCGAGGTGTCTGCCCAGTCCAGCTGGCCCGTGGGCCCAGAGCCGCTTGGTCTGGGTGGCCAGGCACCCGCAAGGCCCCTGGGGGCAGCACAGCTGAGACCACCCGCTTTGCGGCCCTCTGAGAGGCTGCTGCCCTGTGCCGAGCTTTCCTCCTCAAAACGCCACCGTTTCACTCAGTTCTTTTCTGGGAAGAGAATTAAAACGACGGTCACCAGGGTTTGTGGCCTTTATCGAACGAGACCTCGGGGTGGGTGGTTCAGCTGGGAGCCAGTGGCTGCCGCGCCCCGGGTGCCCCAGCCAGGGCCACCTCACCAGTGTGACTGAGGGCAGCAGAGGTAGTGCGGGACAGGCGGCTCAACACCGGGCCAGGCTGCCTTCCACAGAAGCCCTGGGCAGTGCCTGGTGAGATCAAGATTGTTTCCATTAGATCAGAACCCAGTGGCCTCAGGGCTGACAGGCGGGGACACTCATGGAGGCTGAAATCCCTTTGTGGGGCTGGCGGGGGCCCAGCAGGTTGCCCGGGGCCAGCCGCTCGCAGCCAGAGTCCCCTCTTCCTGGGGGGTCCGCTGAGGGAAGGCAGGAGAGAGGGGCCCCCTGGATGGCCTTGGCTGGCAGCCCAGTGGCTGGGAGGTTCCGGGTGCGAGTGGGGTCCCGTGGCCTGGACAGTCGGGCCAGGCAGCTGCTAGCCAGGAGCCCCCGTTTCGTGGGTCCCGGGGCTTGGGGGAGGCCGCGAGGCAGGCTGGCGCCTGAGGACCCCACGCCCCGCCCGCAGGACTGCCTCCGCGCCTGCCAGGAGCAGATCGAAGCCCTGCTGGAGGCCAGCCTGCGCCAGGCCCAGCAGAACCTGGACCCCAAGGCGGCCGAGGAGGAGGCGGAGGAGGAGGAGGAGCTGGACCTGGCCTGCACGCCCACCGACGTGCGGGACGTGAACATTTGAGGGGCCGTGGGGGGGGGCCGGCCGGTGCTCTGCTGGCCCCTCCGGGACCTGTCGCCCGGGAGGGGTCGCGCCCTCCTGCTGTCGTTTCCTTTGCTCTTCCTCCCTTCTGTCTCTGACTTAAGCAAAAAAAAAAAGTACCTGAAAAACTCTTAAGAGAGAGCGAGAAAGGATAGTGTTTGCATAACCCTGAGCGGGGTGGGGCGGGTGGGGGGAGGCGGGAGGCGCTGCAGAGTAGAGGGGTTCCCGCGGAACCAGCTCTCGCGGCGGCGGGGGTCCGTGCTCCAGGGGAGGATTAGGTTTGATTCTTTCTGTGTCTAAAACAAACAAAAAAAGTATAAAAACATGTTTTGAAAAAATAGAAAAAAAAGTGAAACCACGTTTAAAGTAGAGGGTTTAGGTAAAGAAAAGACGGTTCTCGAGCGCCGCAGGGAGCGCAGCTTTAAGGCGGTTTCGGCGTCTGTCTGTCCCCCGCTTGCTCGTGCAAATAGTCACTTTATATGTCTGTGCGTGGAGGTTAGCACGTAGGTGGCGTGTGGCACGGGCCCTGGCGAAGGCCGCCGTGGCCGAGGGCGGCGTGGGGCTGGGCGCCCGAGCTGGCTGCCCCCTCCTGCCATGCACCCCCAGCTGAGTGGTTTGCGGGGCGTCCCCCAGCCGAGCATCCGGGGGGCTTAGCCGCCTCGCCGGCGCCCAGGACACACCGCTCCCTGGAGAAACTGCCCGGGCGACGTGATATATTCTATTTTTGTAATCTCCCTATTTTTGTAGCTCCCTGGTTTCACCCCCAGACTGCAGCCGCCCCGTCTGTGCAATCCACAGCTCCTCTTGTGTCTTTTCCGTCCGGTATTCTGGAAGCATTCCATTGCAAAGCACTTTCGGTCCGTGGGGAGAGGCGGCCTCTGTCTATGTTGTGTGTGTAGGGGAGCAGTGCTGGGATGGTTGAGGAACGGTGGGGACGCGGCGGCGGCCGCAGGGGGGCCTGAAGGCTGTGTGGACGGTCCGGAAGAAAAGGGCCGCCCCCGCGGCCAGGGTGGCGGCTCCCGCCCTGTTCGCAGACAAGTTGACGTGCAGGATTCCTTTGGTGCCGGCTGGCGTTGGAAGGTTGAAGGTCGGGCCCCGAGAGGGTCTCCCAGAGAAGGCGTAGTTTCAGGCTTTTCTTTAGAGGTTTTGCAAGCGGAAGGTTTTTAAACACTAAAATATATAATTTATAGGTAAGGCAAAAAAGAATATTTATTGCAGAGGATGCTCGTAAGGCCAGTATGATTTATAAAGTAATGCAATCTCCCCTTGACTCACACACACACCCCCCTTTCTGCCTAGGATGTTCAGGTTTGATTCAGCTGACAAAAAAAAAGTTAGGTCCTTTGTAGGAGGAAAAAAATCCCAAGGGCGCGCGTACACACGCACACACACACACACACACACACATACACACACGTGCGCGCGGCCTGTTGGGTGTGTCCCAAAGCGACTCCGTCCTCAGAAGGATAACGGGGGTCCCTGAAGCAAGTCCAGTGCCAACACGGCCTCGTCCCCCTCTACGGTGTCGGCCACCGGGACACACGTGTGCGCGCCGTGGCCACCCATGGACCTTCCGTTGCGCGGAGCGGCGCGTGGGAGGGGGGCGGCCGGCTGCTGCCGGGACTCGCGGGGAACAGACTCGCGTGGCTTCTCTGTCTTTCACATTGTTTTGCTGCTATTGGAGGATCAGTTTGGTTTTATACAATGTCATTTACTGCCATGTTCTCGTTTTTATTTTCTTGTAGAGAATTGTATGATGGATGCCCTTGTTTTGTAGTTGTTTTTTTTTTTTTATGTGCTCGATTTTGACTTCATGTGATTACTGCTCTATTCCAAAAAGGTTCCTGTTCCACAATACCTCACGCTTCACTAGCATGTGTCGACCGGCGGGCGGTCGCCTCCGCCTCAGGCAGACCCAGACGCGGCGCCCTCTGCGTGCCCTGCGGCGTGCCCGGCCGCGCTGGGGACGCGTCGAGGGGCGGCCTCTGGGACAGCGCCGCGGCGGCCGCGCCAGCCTGCGGTCACGTTCCAGTGTTTGCTCATCATCCTGTCAACGACAGCGTCCTGCTCGTTAGAGACTCCAGATCTCATGAAGCCGCTGACCGTGCCGCGTGCCCGCCCAGCGCGCAGCCCAACCAAAAGCCCGCGCGCCTGCCCGGGGCCCGGAGACCGCCGCCGGCCAGGGACACGGCGCCCTCCCGTTTACCTCAACCCTCGTGGCTGCGGCATCTCTGTCTGAACCAAACGGGGTCCCTGAGGGCTGGCTGGTCCGTGACGGGCGGCTGGGTGGGCCGCAGGGCCGGCGGGGAGGTCTCCGGGCGGCGGGCGCCTTGGTTCTGTGTGTTCTTGGTTGTACACCGCCGCGGTCCCCAGCACAGACATGTAATCGGCACATTTCCAGCAGAAGACAAAAGACAAACGTGAAAAGTCTAGAAATAAAATTGGTAAAACCCCCCAGGGTGTGGCCTGTGTGTTTTTGTCTCACTGGCTGGGGCTGAGCTGGCCTCCCCCTCAGGACCCTGGACGTCCCAGGACCGGAGGGCATTCCCCCAGCAGGAGGGAGTCCTGGGCTTGCCAGTGGGAAGGGGAGGCTGTGTGGCCCCCAGGTGAGGCCCCTGAGAAGAGTTTGGGGTGTCTGCAGCAGTTCACACCCCCACCCCCACGACCTAAGACAATGGCTGCCCGCCACTCGCACAGGGCGCTCCCGGCTTATCTGCAGACACGTTCTCTGCCTCCTCGACCCGCTTCTGGTGCAAACTGCTGCTGCTCTTGGTGGTTCTCAGTTCCCGGGACACCCTGGGCTTGAGGTCAGTGGACTCGGGCCTTGTCCTGGCACCCAGAGGCCCACTGGGCACCCCTGGGCTTCCGATGCATGAGACCGGCCTCATCCTCCTGGGTGGAGGCGGCAGTGGGGACGTGCTGGGAAGAGACAGCGGCCTTGCTCACAGCTGTGGGGCCAGGGGCTCCCCAACGTGTATGGGAATTCAGTGCGTGCTTGGGAGCTACACAGACACCGGGTCCCAGGTCAAGGTCAGTACCTGCCAGGTCAGTTCGCTGACCTTCAAGAGTGCTATACAGGGCCCTGCTCCGGGGAGGGGCAGCCCCCCATCCCCGGGAGCACTCACGGGGGGCTGTGGGCTCTCCGTAGGTGTCAGCCCCTCTAGGATAGGTGGGTGTGGCGGGGCTGCGGCGGCCTGTGCTGCGGCACCAGGAATTGCGGGTGCTCCGGAGGCTGCCCCTGCATGGCAGGGTTCCGGGGGCAGTGAGGCCAGAGGAGGCCCCTGAAGGCTGGACCTGGGTCCAGGCCCCAGGACACGTGTGCACCGTGAGGGCTGAGCCAGGGCAGCCTCGACCCCGGAAGGGCTGCTGGAGTCAAGTGAAGGTGGAGGGCAGGGGCGGGGAGCAGGTCAGGACTGACTGGGGCGTTTCCTTTTTCCCGGATGAAGAGCAGAGCTGTAGGTGGACAGTGAGGTGAGAGGGGTCTGGCCCCTGGCCATGCGCAGGGCAGGGCAGAGGCCCCTGGTCTTTCCCCCTGGGAAGCCCCTATTATAAGGAGCATCTGAGCTCCCTGTCACGAAAGCCAGCGTGGGCGCCTGCGTCCCTCCGGGGCTGCCAGGGATGCGCATCCCCTGTGCCCGAGGCTGGCCTTGAGAGACTGACAGCAGCCCCTTCCGCCAGTCCTCGTCCTGAGGGTCTCACCTCAAGGGTCTCACCTCCCAATGTGTCCCGTCCCGATGGCCCCTCTGCCCAAATGCCCCTGGGGCGCCAATGCCCAAAGTCCTGGGACCTCCCGGCTCTCCAGGAGCCTCAGACTTCCCGAAGCCACAGCTCCTGCGTGAGACAGGACGACACCCCAGGCCACCTTCATCCTCCACTCCACGCCGGAGGCTCTCTGCCCATTCCCAGCCTGCCACCATCACTGCTGAGAAGTGGGGGCTCTCTGGGGGGCTGGGGAGCCCCAACCTGCTCTGACCTAGAGGGGTGGCCCTGCCCGACCGGGGTGTAGGGGCTCCAGGGCTCAGGACCCATCCCGTGTGCTGAGGCCAGTCAGAGCTGGGCTGGAGACTCGGGAGGGTGGCAGTCAGGCCCCTGGGGTCCATGGCAGCAGCCCAGCCCCATACTTCCCCCAGACCTGTCCCGCCCGGCCTCCTGGAGGTCCCACTGCCCACTTGTCTGGCCCCATACCAGCTGCCAACCGCAGCGCTGCTGCTGCTACAGTGGTGTAGGCTGCCCAAGGCGTGTGGCCCCCCCCCCCCCAAGCTGGGCTGGCCTCTGGAGCACCCAGGAGCCGTCATCCCAGGAATGCCTTTGATCAGGACTGCACACCAGGGAAGCCTGGAGGCCTAATCCGCTCCCAGAGCCCCCTGCCCTGGGCCCCAGCCCTGGGCCACACTGCAGGCCAGCAGACAATAGCGGGTGGGCGGGCAGCTCTGGCCAAGAGGCTGGAGGCCCACATCCGGGGCATTGTCACTGCTGCGCAGGACGGGGAGGACAGGGAAGAGGGCATGGAGCCCCCGGCAGGCCCCCGTGCCTGGAGCCGCTCAGAGGCTGCGCCACGACTTTAATCAGCAAGTGACAGCAGCGACAAGACACTCGACAGGCTTTCAGAGCAGCCGGTTTAGTGGGGGGAGCCCTAGTCTGCACCACGGCCCGAGCACAGCAGGGCCGCCCGCCCCGCGCTCCCAGCTAGCGCCTCTCTCTGAGCTGCTGCGGGGTGTGCAGCTCCTCCCCACCTTACAGCAAACCCTCCGGCAGTGCGGGCAGGGTCACCCTGGTGCGGGGCTCTGGGCTACGTTCCCACGGGGATAATTATTCCATAGAGCAGGGGCCTCCCTGGGGGCACAGGGGTTACATCTCAGCGCTAGGAAGCTCTCACCAGACACTGCAGCACGAGTTCGATCCCCGGCCAGGGAGCTACCCACATGGCGCGCAGGAGGTTTTCATCCGACAACTGTCTTAAGGATGCTCGGGGCCCGGGCAACTCAGGCCCCACTGTGAGCCCCAACTCCGTGCTGGCTCCGCCCCGCTCTATACAGGGGCAGCCACCCTCGGAGGCCAGGTCAGGACGGGCCGGCGGCCGCGGGCGCAGAGGCTTCCCCTCCCTTCCTCCAACTCTCCTCAGTGTCCTCGCCGCCGGGTGGACGCGACATAAAGCAAAGGCAAAGCGGGCAGTGACGTGGCCTCTGGGGCCCAGGCCTTCCTCGGCCTCCGTGGGCCCAGAGCCCCCGTCCAGGTGGCCGTTTGATCCTCCCACTCACTCCCGATCACTCAGGCTCCAGAAAATGAATGGAGTCACGTCCTCGTTATGTGAGATAGCTGTCTTCTCCCCCGCGCCCCCAGGGACGTGTGTCCCACCATCCGGATGGGGTTGGGGGGGTCTTCACGGAGATGACGGAGGTCAAGTGAGGTCACGGGGCCCCGAGCCAAGACCGTGTCCTTCTAAGAGGAGGACCAGGACAGAGACACGCACAGAGGGGTGGCCCCGAGGACAAGCCCAGGAGGGGCTGCGGGAGGACCCCTGCCTGCCCTGACCCAGACGCAGCCTCCGGATGGGAGAAGCGGTGTCTGTGGGAGCGTCTGTGGGAGCCGGGAGCCGACTGAACACACCACGTCTCCCCCAGGAAGGCGCCTGAGAGCTGTGAATCTAAAGGGACAAGGTCTGACCCCAAGAGCTTGTGAGCCCAGCGGGCCTTGGGGCTCACCCCCCGCCAGCAAGGCAGACAGGAGGGCCGGGGTCTGTGGGACCTGCCCCCACGCAAGCTGTTCTGCAGCGCGGACGAGGCAGTGGGTTGGCAGGGAGGGGCAGGGAGGCCCGGCCGGCGCGAGCGTGCGGCGCAGACACCTCCCGCTGTGAAAGGCGCTCTTTATTGCCACAAGTAGAACATTATCGGAGCCGGGGATTTGAGAGCACAAAACCCACAAAGACAGCCACACCGCAGGCCCTCCGCTGAGGCTTTCTGTGGCAACAGGCACCCACGGACCCCACAAGTGAGCCCCAGGACGAGGGAAGAGCGGGCAGCCACACGCACTGAGCAGTCGGGCTAAGTGGGGCCCCCGACGCTGACCAGCGCCCCTCTCCTCCCGGCCAGCGCCAGGGCCGGCAGCTAATCGGGAAGAAAAGACGGCCACCTGTCAGGGCTCCCGTCTCCGGTGGGATTCGGAGTCCCGTGTGCGAGGGGAGCCCCATTTCTAGATGCCCAGGGGGCTTTTAAAGCTGGAGCAGGCGGGTGGCGCCCCTTTACTAGCCGACCGCGCGCGGATGTGCTTCCGCAGACAGGAGCAGGGGCTGCGGGTGACCAGCGCTGCCTGGGGCCGCGGGAGGGGGCGCCAGGGGGCCCGGCAGGGGCTCAGGAAGGCGGCCTGGCTGGGGCCCGCACAGCCAGAAGCACCGCGCACGGGCAGGGGGTGGCCAGGCCGCAGGAGAGGCCCGGGGGGCACCCAGGCCCCGGGGCCGGCCACGGCGGGGAACAGCCTTTCGCCGCCAACCGGAACCCTCCTCAGGGAGCCATGAACGCGCCGCTTTGTCCACCTTGCTCGCAGCTGGGCGCGGGACACACGGACACCTGCTCCTGGGCGTGCGGTCTTTGTTCGCCCGGCAGCCTCAGAACGAAAGCCCGGCGCCTCCCGCGCTCACTTTAAAGTCCGGCTGGACGTTTAGCAAAGAACAAAGCTGAAGGCAGAAGGAAAAAGACGGGGTTTGAATTCTCGCTCACCGACTCGCAGAGCGGAACACACCTCCGCGCGGCCCGTGTCGTCGCCTCTGCCGCCGAGCCCAGCGGCTTCCAGCCCCGCTCCCCGGGCCGCCTCCCGCTCCCGCGCTCGGAGACGCTGCTGGAGCCCCCGTGTGGCCCCGCGCCCGGGCCCCGGCCCCCGGGGAGGGGCGCCCTCTGGACACACCTGTTTAAACTTCCCTCTGATCTGGTCTAAGTCCTCGTGAAGTTTCTCGTACGTCGGGTCATCGTAAGGGAACTTCTCAATCATCCCGATCAGCGACTCTAAGACCTTCATCTTCTTGCTGGAACGCAGACACAGCCGGTCAGTCCTCCGCGCGCAGCGGGCTGCACCCGGGCACGAAGGGCGGCCACGGGTGTGTCAAAAGTAGTACACGGGGCTCCCTTGCTCCTATTTATTCACCGAGTCCCGGGCTCCTGCCTGCCCCGGCGGCGGCACCACCCCAAGCGCGCGGAGTCACAGCCCGGCCTCGGCCCAGCCGGGAGTGCCCTGGTGTAGGGGCGTCGGCCGCCCCAGGCAGCAGCGGACGGGGGCGCGGGGACTGGGAAACCGAGGGCGCGGCCCGAGTACGGGCCTCCTCGCCCTGCTGTGGATGGGACCAGAGAGCCAGCGTGGCTCTGGCTGCTGCCCTCGCACCTGGGCGGCCAGCCGCTCCCCGGCCCGACCAGCAGCCACCCCGCCGTGCCCCACTGCCCGGCCCGACGGAGGAGCGGGGCGCACCGAGGCAGGCGACTAGGACGCACCTGATCCTGAGTGCACGTCAGTGACAGCCCTCGCTCCAGAAACGCAAGAACTTCAAGAGTCCCAGGGATGGGGGTGCCCCTGCCCTGCTCTAGGAGCCACAGTCTCCCCAGCCACTCCCGGGCCAAGCTGTCAGCACCATGATGCTGGGCGCAACCCCCGGAGTCTCTGGCTGCCACGACCAGCAGGAACCAGCACCACAAGCAGAGGCTGCTTAACCAGGCTCCGAACCATACACCAGGGCGTCCGTGCCCCGCAGGCCGCCACCTTCAAGCTGGACAGAGGCACCCTCCCGGAGCCTCACTGCCATCCAAGCTGCTGTGCTCCTCCCACCAGAGCTTGGGGAGACACAAGGAGAGAGAAACGACGTCTGCACCTCCTGCTAGCAGGAGCCCAAGGCGCTCAGTGAGCTCTAATACATCCGGCAGCGGCAGGAGGAGGGGCCCCCAGAAGCAGGGGCAGCTGGCTGGCCTCAGACACCCACAGGTGCCGGGCGCCGCTGACCCCTCCTGCACATCTCACCACCACACTCAAGTCTCCATTTCACAGATGCGGCACCCGGGCCACAGACTGAGGAGGAACGGCGCCCCACACTTTACCTGTCCTTCTCGGTGGCACAGCCGTGCAGGAGGCATCTCCACGCGAAGGCAAAACCTTGATAGCACCCGATCTGTGGACACAAAACAGGGATGACACTGACAAGCAGCAGGCTACACTGGACCTCGCTCAGAGGGCAGCGGTGCCCGCCTGCTGTTCTGGAAGCATCCGCTGAGCATCAGGCCATGGAGGCAAGAAGTCAAGTCCTCAGCAGGGCAGCCATCTTCCAGATGCCCCCGCCCCCTGCCATTCATCCACTCTGACGACATCAGGGCGGCCTGGGGAGCCAGAACTCAGGGAAGGACAGCGGGGGCCAGGCAGGCGAGATGCCGCTTCTGGCCTGTTCCCTGGCTCCTCACCCAGGTGTCGGGAGCCCAGGCGGCCTCTCGGCTCTCCGAGCCTGCACAAGGGACCCCCATCTGTAGCCTTAAGCCCCTTCATTTTGCAGCCGTTCCTCTCTGCAGCACAGGCGTCTAACACGGCACAGCTGCCTCAGCCTTGCCAGGGGAGGCCAGCTATCAGAAGCGAGGCCAATGTATGATGAAGGACAGAGAACAACTGCAGGCGTAATGGCGTTTCACGCAAGTGTAATGTTTCCCACGACACAGGGCACCCACTCCTTGGGTGAGGCTTCAGCCGGCTTAAGACGGGAAGCAACGCCAAAACACCCCAATGTTAACTGAGGTGACGGAGAACTTGTTTTCTCATTCTCCAGCCTGCGGCCTCACCATCTATCTCGGTCAGGATGCTAGAAATCCTCCTCCAGCAGCAGCCTACCTAATCCATCGACTCCGCTGGACGAGGCCCGAGGCTCCAGGGCCATCCCACTGCACGTCACTAGTAGACCAGCAAGAATAAATGAAAAGGCTTTGTTTAGAAATGAGGGCCCCACTTACCTCAGATCCGATCTTAGCTCCATGTAACGTGCCGTGCTGTCTTCCCTCAATTATACCCAAACTGCTGCCTTCCTCGTAGCCTTCCTGAAACCCTTCCCCATGAAACCTGTCACGGAGAAGACGCAAGCCTGACCAAACAAGCAGAGGAAGAGTGTCTGCCTGGAAGCCTTTTTTGCCCCATGTCACCCAGGCACCAGGAAGTGCCAAGCCTGACTCCAGAACAGGAGACCCAAGTCCCACCCCAGCTCCGCCCTGCCTGTGTCTCCTCTACCATGGGCCGCGGTTGAAGCCCATTTTCCTCTTCTCCAAGGACTGATTCTCCAACATGGGAGAGAACAGGAGAACTTTTACAATGACATTCAAGAGTCTCTCCCCTAAAGTAAGGCCCCGGATAGCGGAGATCCTAGTCCACACCCGGGGTGGGGCGAACAATAGCTCTGAGTGTTGAAGCTGTGCCACCGGGTCAAGTGTGTCCAAAGAAACTGCAATACGGACAGGACTTTCTGGAACATGTCAGATCCAGTAAAGAGAAATGCCACCGCCGGAGTCTAGGCTCTGCCTCTGAACACTCAGCAGTGGGATCCGCACCTTAACCTGCAGTCCCCCAAGGGTGTGCTGGGGACCCCTCCCCAGGTCCAGTGAACAGCTCCCTCTCTCTGCTTGTGTGACTCTGGGGTGGGGGTGACCTCCAATTTCACTCGCTTCCACTCGTCTGTGGAATAGGCAGAATGCCTTACAAGTAGGTCTAAGATAAGCGGGGTTCCGCACTTAGCTCCCTGCCGGATTCACAGCAAACTCTAAACAGAGGTCAGCGACGGACTGTTAAATGTTCTTTCTTCACTGACACCTATTCACGTCTCTAGAGGGCCGGGCACCGGGGAACAGCCACAAAACAACTCACAGCAGCCGTCACCGGCCTGGGCGCTCCCCACGGGGTCTGGAGCGGGTGGGATGACGTCTGACACATTCATCACCCCGGCATGAATGCTGCCGTATGTCCCCCGACGAGGGAACAAGAAAAAGGGGCAGCGCCCAGATGGCGCAGGCCTGTCCCGCCCGGAGGGGCGTCCCCGGAGGAAGGCGACCCCAGGCCGAGCAGATGCTGCGGCGGCCCCGGCCCGGGGAGGCGGGTCCGGAGCAGCAGCTGGGCACGTGGCGCCGGGCCGAGGGGCCGGCCGGGCGGGCGCAGAGCAAGGGGGATGAGGGGCAACCCCGCCCCGCGCGCGCCCCAGCTCTCCGGGCGGCCGGGCGCGCCCCCCGACCAGGCCCGCGAGGCCGCCGCGGACCCGGCGCCGCCACTCACCTCTCCTCCGCCATCACGATGGAGTCGAACATATCCCGACTCTCGGCCATGGCGGCGCCCGGCGGGGCCCGGCCCCTCCTCCTGGGGCCCCACCGCCCCGCGCCGCCGTCGCGCACCCGCGGGGACCCCGCACCGACGCGCCGCTTCGGAGCGGGCGACGCCACTTCCGGGGCCGGCGGCGCGGGGCAGGCTGGGTAACGACGGCACGCGGGAGGGCCCAGCCAGCCCCGGCGCGGAGCCGAGACGCAGGCGCGCGGGAGGTGGGCGGGGCCAGGCCAGACGAAGCCCCGCCCAGTAGCCGCCCCCAGGCCGCGATGGGCGGGGCCGCCCTGCGTTCTCGCGGCGGCCGTTTCCCTGGTAACAGCGGCGCGCTCGCCCCGCACCCGAGAACCCAGAGCCCGCGCGGGACCCGCGGCTCGGGACCGGGCGGGAAAGCAGCCCTGGTGTCAGCGAGCGCGCTGGGAAGTTTAGTTTTTTTAAACTAGAGATAAAGGGCCTGGCCTCCCTGGGGGCCTAGGGGTTCAGTCTCAGGGCCATCACCTCTACGGCCTGGGTTCGATCCCCGGCCAGGGAGCCACCCACCTGGCGCGGCAGACCGCCCCCTTCGCCCCGCTGCCCCCCTCAGCGGTGTGTCTGAGTGGATCTGCCTGTTCTGCTCCCCACTCTGTCTCTGGGGAGTCCTCTCACCCCCGCCACCTCTGGCCTGTTCCTCAGTTCTTCTATGCATAAATAAATAAATCTTTATTTTAAAAAAATGGGGGGGAAATCCTTTTGGAAATGATTATGCCATTGTAGCCTCCAGCGCATAAATGAACGTCCCCTGTGGCCGGGCCTTGGCAAGGTGGGAAGGGCTTTTTAAATGCTTTTACCTTTTGACCTAATCATTTCACTCCCAGGACGTCCATCTCAAGGAAATCATCAGAGAAAAATGTAATTTTTTCTGACACTGGGGCTCAGTGCCACGAGATCTGCAAAAAGCCAGAAAAAGCACCCTTGACAGAATGGGAAATTGCAGCCTCCCGTCGAGGGGTATTCACTTTGGGGACCCCTCAGCACCCCGCCAAGATCGTATTTGAGACAAAAGTAATGTCAGGGGGAAATGCTCATGATGTTAAAGGGGAAAAAAAGGCACCATCTATACAAATTCCAATTATGTGAAATAATTATGCTTCTTAACGAACTGAAAGCCAGTCTTACATTAACAGTCATTATATCAGCACTTGGGGATTATGGTACTTTTTAATTTCCTCTTTTATATGTTTTCCGCATATTCTAGGGTTGCACAGTGGGCATGAGTTGCTTCCATAAGCATATATATTTTGGGAAGAGGACAGTAAACAGGTTTTCTATTATTTTGTTCTCAAAATGTCTTTCTGCATTTTTTTTTAAAGCAAAATCATAAAACATTTGGAATGTAAGAAAAAGTGCAAAACAGACAAATCCACTGAACCAGACTCTGGCCACCAATGAATTTTTACTATCAATAGTTGTGTTACATTTTTCCTTTGAATCTTTCTTTTTTTTTTAAGATTTATGTATTTATTTATACAAGCACTGGGTACAGTCAGAAGCGCGGGAGAGTGAGAGAATTCACCAGAGCCAGAGCGGGGAGCAGAGCAGGCAGAAGGACCGAAGGACACTGCTGAGGGGAGCAGCGGGCGGCAGGAGAGGTCTGCGCGCCATGTGGGACCCTCGCAGGCAGCCAGGGATTGAACTGGCGCTGCAGAGGCTGCGGGCAGCTTCCCAGCCCAGCGCTCAACCTTAACATCAACATAATCTTAGCACATGTCCAACTTGCCTTCCTCCCCCTTAACATTATATTACAAACACGTTCTCTTATTATTACGTAGATAAGATACATGTTTGTATCTCAGCTGAGAGAAAATACAATAAGCTGTAATCTTGGGCAGAGAAAAAGATACTTGCTGAGAACAAAAAGGGACAAGTTACAGGATAAAACCTATGGACAGAGGGCCTCCCCACTGGCGCAGCGGGTTGAGGGCCATGCTGTGAAGCTGTCCACAGCCTCTGCAGCGCGGGTTCAATTCCCGGCCGGCCGGGGAGATACCCACATGGCATAGCAGACCTCTCCTGTCTCGCCCACTGCTCCCCTCAGCGGTGTCTTTGGTCTGTTGCCTGTTCTGCTCCCCACTCTGTCTCTGGTGAATCCTCTCACCCTCCTGCGCCTCTGACCTGTACCCCAGCTCTTGTATAAATAAATAAATCTTAAAAAAAAAAAAACCCAATGGGCAGCGAGAACTGCACAGAAGAACAGAGTTTTAATTTCAAACTTAAGAAAAGCAGTGCAGGGGCCTCCGTGGTGGCACAAGGGGTTAAGATGCAACCTATGAAGCTGTCTGCAGCCTCTGCAGCTCGAGTTCGAGCCCCGGCCAGGGAGCTACCCACACGGCGCAGCAGACCTCTCCTGCCGCCCGCTGCTCCCCTCAGCAGTGGACTTCGGTCCTTCTGCCTGTTCTGCTCCCCGCTCTGTCTCTGGTGGATCCTCTCCCCCTCCCGCGCACCTGGCCTGTACCCCAGCTCTTGTATAAATAAAGTAAATATTTTTTAAAAAGACATTTTTTTAAAAAAGAAAAGAAAAAAGTTAATAAAAAGACGGAGCTGGTGGGGCCCGCCCGGCCGGCGCGTCGGCCGCTCCCGCCCCCAGAGGGCGCTGTCCCCCCACGGAGGACGGGCCGGGGCGCGCGGGGCGCACGACGCCGCCGGAGCTCGGGGTCCCCACGTGGCCCGCGCGCCTCCCTCCTCAGGGGCTCCCCTGGCCTCCAGGGTCTGCCCCGCCTCCGTGGCCCCCGCCCGCCCCGGGCCTTTCTCCCCGCCGCCTCGCCCGCCCCGGCCCGCGCGCCCCGGCCCCTCCGCGAGCGCACCCGCCCGGCCCGGCCTCCGCGTCCCGCCCAGGCCGCCCCGCCCGCCCGGCGCGCCCGAGGGGGCTGGCTCCTCCCGGCCCCGGCCCGCGGCGGGCGGGTGTCCACGCGGGCCCGAGCCCGGGAGCCCCGTGCCCCGCCGGCTCCCAGGAGGACGGCGCCTCCCCCCGCGCAGCCTCGCGGGGTCCGGCGCCCCCCGGGGCTCGTCTGCGGAAGCGGATCGCGGGGAGTCGACGCACCGGGAGCCGCGCGCCCTGGGGGCGCCTGGGACTGCCCGCCGCTCGGGGCTGGGCGCACGGGGCTGGGCGCACGGGGTGGGGCGCGCCCGCTCCCCGCGCCTCCGCCCGCCACCGGGGGCGCCCCTGCGCCCGCACCCGCCGCCAGCGAGCCCCCCGCTCCTTGCAGCGCCCCCGGGCGCCGGGACCCTCGCCGCGCCACTCCAGGCCCCGCCGGCCGAGCGGCGGCGCGGCGGCGCCGAGGACCTGCGCTCCGGCTCCCCGAGGTCGCCGGGCGACTTGGCCATGGAGACGGTCTGCTCGACTCCGGGAAGGACAGGCGCGGGGCTTAGGGGCTCCCGAGGACGCTGGTCAGCCGCCCCTGCTGGCCGTCCCGGGCTGCCGGCCCCGGTCATAGCTGGGGACCCTCTACCTACTCTTGTGACTGGGGGGGACACCCAGGCTGACGGCCCAGGGACTCGCTGCCCGGCCCCCCACCTGGCGGTGCACTGGGCTGCCCCTGTGTGGGCTTGGGTCCAGGCTTCCCCCTCTTCCGGCTCCTCCTGGGGGAGGGTGGAAGACTCTGTCTCTGGCATCCCGACCTGCCTGCCCAGGTCTCAAAGCAGCAGTGCCACGGGGTGTGGCACCTGGATGGGCATCCTGGGCTGCCACCAGCAGGACGGAGTGTCGGGGCCCTTAGCAACCATCTGCACTGTCCCCAGCGCACTCAAACCCAGGGGCTCCCAACACAGAACCCCCCACACTGGCACCCCAACCTCACCCGGGCTTACAAATGACGTCAGAGCTCCGGTAAGAATAAGTTTAATGGAATGTCTGGCGATTTCAAATTAAGAACATGAATACGACTACATGCTAGGAAATCATTGCAATACATCAGCCTGGTCCCAAAACGCGGTTCCCTACGACACGAGAAGCCTCTGGAATGTCGCGACATGAGTGCGCCTCGGGGCCAGGCGCCTCCGTGGACGGCACGCGCCCGGGGAAGCAGGAGTGAAATCAGCTCTGATTTGAAATAAAGATTTGTTGACGGGCAGTTCTGCGCCTCCACGTTGACCTTCCGGCAAAAAGGTCGCCTTCCGGGTGGGCGCCGGGCCCGAAGCCTCAGCCCTCGCCCCCTGCGCTGCGGCGGACCCAGGTGTCATTTCTGAGTCTCCAGGCCGCGGCTGCCAGCGCGCCAGGAAGAGGAGCAGCGAGCGAGCGAGCGAGCGAGGCGCGCCCCGGGCCACCAGCCGCCGGGGCTCCAGGGCCGTCAGTGAACAGTGTTTCCTTTGATTTTTGTTTGAAATGACGGATTGACAGCAAGTTGCTGAAACAGTGCCAGGACCCCGTGCGGCCCATCCCCAGCCTGCGCCGCTGCATCTCAGGTACCGACAGCAGGACGGTCCCCGACCTGCCCCCACCCCGCAGCCCCCAGCTGAGATGGCCGCTTCTGGGGCACACGCGGGCGCGCGGCTGGCCTTTAGGGGGCAGGCCCGCCCAGTGGGTTGCAGCGTGAATGTCATCACCCTCTTTCTCACAATTCTCCCTCCGACCGGCCAGGGTACCAACGCGCCTCCCTTCGTGCTTGCTTTCCCAGCCTGCCCTGCAGCCAGGGGTGTCCTTGTGAGCGATGCTGATTTGGCGGACGCCACCAGAATGTGCGCGAAAGGTCTAAGGGTGCTTCGGCACTCCTGGTGAGGACGTGGCCGCGAGGGCTCTTCCCGGCTTGAGCAGGCAGCTATTTCAACGGGAGGCGCAGGTGCCACCCGCGACCACACGTGGAGACGCCGAGAGTCCCCTAGCACGGCCGGGCCCTGGACACACTTTGGTTACCTCTGGGCCTGTGACTAGACAAGCAGCACCTCTTTGTGCAGGTGGGGGGGGCTCTCCCCGGTGACTGTCTCCCACGGAGGTGCAGCCTCTGCTCCAGGTGAGATGCTGCTGTTCTACTTGACCGCTTGGGGACACCTGCTCCCAGCAAGGGGTGCACGGCCCCCTGAATGTGAGCACGCTGAGCGTGGGGCACCGAGTTTGGCCACCGCTAGCCAGGGCTTCTGTTTCCTGTAGCCGAACACCCTTCCGACAGGGGCTCCCTAACTCCAGGAGAGGGAGCGTGAGGCGGCTGCGTCCCTACCAGCCTCCACTAGCCGGTCACCCTAAACCGACTGTTCAAATGCTTGGAGGGTTCCTACGACGGTCCGGGAGCTGCGTGCTGTCCGCGCAGCAGTGGCCACACTGTGGGCCCCTCCGTGCACAGCACAGCCGCGCCTTCCCTTCCCTCCTCCCTTCCATGCACCATTCCAGCTGGTTCGGGATGCAACCTTTGATACACACTCCGCTTTAATGTAGCAAACAAAACTCATGTACAGACATAAATACAATTTGGGGGTATAAATAAGGTAAGAAAATAGAGATGTACATATGGCACAAAATAAATTACTCATAAATACGTGGGACGCGAAGTGCCAGGGAGCGGGCTGGCCGGCTCCGCCTGCACGTGTTTCCGCCGAGAACCAGGGCTTTCCAATACTCCCTTGACAGGCTTTTGGCTGAAATGCCGGGGTGATGAGGTGGGGGTGACCTGGGGAGCGGGGCAGAGGACTGTGGACAGGATGCGGCCTCTGGGAGCTGCTATCTGCGCTTTTCAGGTCAACGTCCACGGCCCGCAGGGGGAGGCCAGACCCCGCGCGGGGTCGGGGCTGTGCAGCTCATCGCCAAGGGGCCGCCTGTGGCATCCGCAGGCCCGGGGAGCCCGAGGCGCCTGGTGAGGAGGGGCTGTGTCCCCAGGCCTCCCCTCTGAGCAGGCGGCAGCAAGGCCTGAGTCGGGTGAGCGGCGGCTGTGGCTGTTGGGAGGGGGCAGGGCAGAGGGCAGAAGCCAGGGAACTGCCCCAGAGGCCGTGGGCAGATGGCCAGGTCGCCCAAAGCGGAATCGGGCCTGGCTCTCGAGATTCACCCAGGCTGGAGGGAAGGGCTGGAGCCCCCCTTGAAGCCTGCACTGTCAGTTGTCCCGGGGGCGCTGGGGAGGGCCAAAGTCCTCCTTGGAGCTGAGACGGGGGCAAGTCTCGCGTGCGGCCGAGTCTGGATTACCTGGTGCTTCCGAGCTGGTCCGCTGCCTGTGAGCTCGGCCCACGCTCCTCTTCCGCCGCCCCTCCTGGAAGCCGTGGGAGGACTGCGGGCGTCAGGCTGGGCCGGGCATGTCCCCAGAGGCAGCGGAGTCCCGTCGGGGAGGCGTGCAAGCACACGGGACGGCGCCTAGCCAGGCGGCAGGGTGGGGGCTGGCACCGCCCCGTCATACAAGCTGACCCGCAAGCGAGCGGCACAGCCGGCGTCCGACGCGCACCGGCCCGAGTCCTAATGCTCCTTCCTAGCGCTAGAGACGGGAGGTCACAGGTCAGGCCGTGCGGCCCGGCCAGAGTCCACTCTGCAGGCGGCCCGGGCCAGGACCTGCCTCCGTGGGCGGGAGGGGGCCCGGACTTCCGTCACTTCTGAAAGCTGGGGCTCTTCACCCTCCCCAGCCTGGTGGCGATCCCGAAAGGGTCCATGCTGTCCGTCTCCAGGGGCGAGGCAAACACCTCCCAGTGGAAGAAGTCCTGGACGCCCTTGGGCTGCATGGGGTCCTGGGGCAGCATGGGCAGGAAGCGGGACAGCGGCAGGAAGCCCCTCCCTGTGTGCAGCTGCCTCTGCTTGGGGCTGCTCAGGGACACCGGGAGCCGGTGCTTCCTGGACAGGTACACGTTGTAGCCGTCGGGCAGGATCTCCTCCTCGAAGGCGCAGTCCTCATCCGAGAACTGAGGCTGCGGAGAAAACGGGCAGCCGGTGAGCGCCCATGGGTGAGACGCGGGCAGGGGCTGGTGCTGCCAGCTCAGGCCGTGGCACCCAGAGGACGGAAGGAGACCAAGTACCCGCTTTCGGGCAACTTTACATAGGGAGCGGATCCATCTCCCCACACGCCCGCGAGTGGGTGTAAGCGGGTCGGGCCCACGGGGAGCTTCCCTTGTACCCGCGCGGACACCAACACCCACCCCCGCAGCCTGGAGGTGCCCCTGCTCCACCTGGCGCCCTGGGACGCCAGGGACACACCTGTCTGGGGGACATGCTCACCCACACGCTTCCCACACACCCTCCCAGCTGCGCCCAAAGCACCCACCTTCCAAGCTTGAGTCTCGCTCTGAGCCCCGGGCACAAACCCTGCGTGCTCTGCCCCAGGGAAGGGCGAGTGAACCCCGCGGCCAGCCCGCGGGCATGGACGCCCCGCCCGTCTCCCCACAATCCCCCGCCACCCCGTCTCCCCTCCGCTCTTTGGGAAACACTCCAAACCCCGCGAGCCTTTCAGGATCAGCCTTTGAATTAGGAATGACCCGGAATCCGATCTGGGGCCCATTAAAGCATCTCTTCCCCAGCCAGACCCAGGAGCCGGCGGACTCCAGCCCTTTTTGTCTGGGCCATTGTCAGGACCCTCGGCCCCCTCGGGCGCCCCATTCAGCAGCCTCCGGGCAGCCGGCCAGCGGGCAGGACGAGCCGCCGCCCCTCCCCCGGCCGCGGCCGGAAATGCTGGCGGGGCGCGCGGGGGCCCCCACTCCAGCGTCCTTCCCCCGGGGGCGCGGGGGGGCCAGCTGGGGGGGGGAGCCGCCAGGGTGGGCGTTGCAGCGCCGCAGGAGGCGCCCGGCTGACCGCGGAGGGTGCGCTGTGCTGATAAGCGCTGATAAGGCCCCCGGGGCCGCCGCGACAGCCCCGCGCGGCGCGGGGTGCAGCCGCCCGCCCGCCCGCCCGAGGGGAAATGCAAATCGATAAACCGGGAGGGAAACCAGAGGGGGCGACCAGCGCCTCCTCTCCTCTACGGGCAGAAAATGGAGGGCCGGCCTCCCGGGGAAGGTGACTTTCTGCTGACAAGGAGCCCCCGCCCGCCCCGGGGCCCGCGGGCCCAGGAGGGGCCCCTCTCGCGCCGGGGCCGGGGCGCGCGGGGCCGGGGGACCCCGGATCACAACGACAGAAGTCGCGGCCCGGGCGCGAGTGGCCTCGGGGCCCGCCCGCCTCCGCGAGCCCCCCCCCCCGTCCCCCCGCTCCTTTGTCCTGCTCGAGGCTCCGCGCCGGCCCGAGGGCGCTCCGGGCGGACGGGGCGCGGGCGCGTCGGCGCCACGGAAAACGCAACTTTGAGGCTAAGGAAAAAGCCCTCCCGCCGCAGGGGGGGCGGCTTTCGCGTCGCCCCGGGGAGGCGGGGCTTTCCGGGAGGCGCGCGGGGCCCCCGCCCGGGGCCGAGGGGCCCGGACCTCACACAGCCGGGTCGGCGCGCGGGGGGCGCGGGGGGCGCGGGGGGCGGGGCTCGATCCTTTGAACTCGCAGCCTTTGTTCCCCGCGAACGGAGACCCGCGGCCGCGCACTTCCTGCCCGGAGACCCCGGGGGTCACCTGCGCACCCCCAGAAGCGTTCCCGGGGGGCGCGCCCCGAGCGCGGAGAAGCGCGCCGCTGGATTATTCTCCTGACGTGTCTGCAAAACACGCGCGCTCTGATGTTCAGAGACAAGTACACGCCTCTCCAATCTCAGGGGTGCTGTTTCCCCCCCTGATTTCGAGATCGACTTCGCGAAGAGCCCACGTCCCGCATTTTATTCCCTTCCATCCGCCCGCGGGGAGGGCCCCGGAGGCGGGGACCGCGCGCCGGGCTGGAGGGCCCGAGGGGGGCTTCCTGCTCCACATCCAGGAGCCCGCAACGCGCCGCCTCCGGCTGCGCTGGGAGCGCGGGGGCGCTGGCGGGGTGCTGCCTCAGAACCCCCCCCGGAGCGATGTCGCCTTCAGCTTGCAGAGGCCTTTGCGGCCTTTTCTGGGGGTTCTGCGCGGCTCGGGCTGCGGCCGGGAAGCCCTGGGCCCAGCCCGCGCCCCCTCCCTTCTGCAGGCCCCACCCCGGGGGCGCGCAGGGCCCGCGCGGAGACACCTACCAGCCCCTGCATCCTGCCGTCGGCGCCCATGCAGAGGTACCGGGCGCTGTTCGCCCCCTTGATGGCCACGGTCCGCAGGGCGACAGCCTTGATCTCCACCAGACCTGAGTGCGAAGGGAGCAAAAGGCTGCAGCGAGGGCCGCGGGGCCACGTGTGGATGCGAGGGGAGCACCGACCCATGTCACCCCGCCCCCCACTTCCTCCGCTGTCGGGGGCCTGCGGAGCCGGCCGGGGGCTAGAGGAGGCTGCAGCCGCGTTCGCGAGTCTCTGCCCCGGTGCGGGGGCTGCCGGCGGCCCCGCGGCGGGAGCAGAACGCGGAGACCCGGGGAGCGAGGGGCGCGGGGGGCGCGGGTGAAGGGGCCGCGGGCGGGCACTCACTGTGCGCGCTCTGGCCCCGCGCGCAGTCCACTGCGCCCTCGGGGCGGATGCGGAGGAAGCAGCTGGAGAGCCCCGGGGGCCCCGCGGCGTACAGGTGCCGCAGGCGCACGGGCTCGCCCCAGCCGTAGCGCACGTGCGGCCCGGCGTCCGAGGACAGGGGCCGCCCGGCGGCGGCCAGCCAGAGGCCGGCCAGGACCAGGGCGCGGGCCGCGACGCCCCGGCTCGGCGCGCTCCGCATGGCACCTCCGGAGGGCTGGGGCGAAGTTCGGGCGGCAGCTGGGGCGCGCGGGGCAGAGCGTGGCGAGGCGCGCGGCCGCCACTCAGCCGCCAAGCGTGCGCTCCGGGCGCGGCGCTCCTGCTCCGACGGCGCGGCGGGCCCGGCCCGCGACCTTATATAGCGCGTCGCCCCGGCCCGGCGGGTGGGTGCCCGCGACACCCGAGCGTGTCTTATCGGGATTGCATCAGGCCTCCGCCCCCGGGACACACCCACTCACACCCCGCCCCGACCCCAGCCCCCTCCGCGGGCCGCGCCCGGGTGACCCCGCCCCGGCCGCCGGGACCGGGGTGGGGGGCGGGGGAGGCCCCGCGCGCGGGAGGGGCAGGAGCGCCCCGGCCCCGCGGAGGCGGCCGGGGCCGGGGCGCTCCCCGCAGAGCGAGGCTGAGTTTATGAAGCGGTGAAGAGGCGACGGGGGCCCGTCCCCCGGCCGCGGCCCCCTTAGGGCGTGCGCGCCTCGCGGGGGGCTCGCTGGGGCGGGGGGCAGGAACCCTGGGGCCAGAGTTAGGGGGCACCAAGTGTTGCGCCCCTCGGTTCCAGCCCGGGAAAGCCCGGCCGCGGCTTCGGGGCCACCCCCGCCCGAGAAGGCCCCCCGCCTCGTCTCCAGACGCGAAGCCGTCCATCAGCATCTCCCGGAGGCCATTTTCTCGGGCTTTCCTCCCCGCGGCCCCGCCCCCTGCCCCTTTTCTTCTGGTAAATTGCGCCCCGACGGGGTGCCGGGCGCGCTCTCCGCCCGCGGAGACAATGGGGCGCGGGGCGCGGGGCGAGCGCTAGATGGCGCCCCCGCCCGGGCCTCGGCCCTGCGCCCCGCGCGGGTTCTGACCCGGTGCCGAGCGCGCCTCGGCGGGACCCGGCGGCGGGGGCGCCCTACCTGGCGGGGAGGGGCTGCTGGGCCCGGGGGCACCTCTGGGAGACGGGGCTGCCGCGGGGGCGGCTCTGCAAACGGGGGGCTTCCTTGACGCCGCCGCGGGCCTGGAGCAAGGGGGGTCCCGGCTGCGGCCGGGCGGGATCCGTCCCTCAGGCCCCCGAGGCCCCCCGCCCGGGCCCCCGAGGCCCCCCGCCCGGGGCGCGGCCGGAGCGGGGGGCGGCGGCGGGAGCGCGGGGGGCCGGGCCCAGCCGGGTGGGTGTCCACGAGCCGAGGCCGCGTTCAGGGCGGGGCCCACGACGGCGCCCGCGGGACGGTCGCCGGGGGGCGCCTGACGAGGGCACCCCGAGCGGCGCCCGCGAAATCCCATTACCCCCCCGAGCCCCCCCCGTGGCTTTAAACCGACCGCGGCTCCTGTTCACTCGGTTACGCCCCCCGCGGCTCTCGCTTTAGAGCCCCCAGAGGGCTGCGGGCGCTGGGGGGGCAGCCGCCGAGCCCCAAGTGGAGCCCCGACGCTGGCTCCTCCCCCTCCCCAACGGCGGGGCAGGAGAGTGACCTCTGACCCCGACCTCAGGGCGAGGCGAGGCTGGCTGCACCCCGGCCCTGGTGAAACGCCGAATGGGGACCCCTCCCGCGGGGAAAAGCGGAGGAGCACCCCCAGGGCCCGCAGCCCGTGAGTGGGGGGCCCGGCGTCTGCGCCCAGGCCCGCGGCTTGGAAACTCGGGTCCCCGCGTCTGCGGCCCGGGTGGGGGCTCCCGGGGATCCCCGCCGCCCCCCGACGCCGCCCCTCTGCCCGCCGCAGCCTCGCCCGGGGCCTCGGGGTGCGGTCGCGCGGGCGGGACGCGGCGGAGGGGCCCCCGCACGTGCGCTCCCGAGCCTGAGACCCGCGCGGCTGATCCGCGCCCCGGGCGAGGACCCGGGGGCTGGGGGCGGCCAGACCCCCGGAGCGCGGGCGCGGGGGGGGGGGGGGGGGCGGGGTCGGCGTCCCCAGCCCGGGCCCTGCGGTGGGGGGAGCGGCCGCCGCGGGGGTGGGGACGCGGGGCGGCCAGCAGGGGGCGCCGCGGCAGGCCGGGGAGCCGCCCCAGCCCCGCAGCCCAGCCCCGCAGCCCAGCCCCGCAGCCCAGCCCCGCAGCCCCAGCCCCGCAGCCCAGCTCTGCAGCCCCAGCCCCGCAGCCCAGCCCCGCAGCCCAGCCCCGCAGCCCCAGCCCGCAGCCCAGCCCCGCAGCCCAGCCCCGCAGCCCCAGCCCCGCAGCCCAGCTCTGCAGCCCCAGCCCGCAGCCCAGCCCCGCAGCCCAGCCCCGCAGCCCCAGCCCGCAGCCCCAGCCCGCAGCCCAGCCCCGCAGCCCCAGCCCGCAGCCCAGCCCCGCAGCCCCAGCCCGCAGCCCCAGCCCCGCAGCCCAGCCCCGCAGCCCCAGCCCCGCAGCCCCAGCCCCGCAGCCCCAGCCCGCAGCCCCAGCCCCGCAGCCCAGCCCCGCAGCCCCAGCCCCGCAGCCCAGCCCCGCAGCCCCAGCCCCGCAGCCCAGCCCCGCAGCCCCAGCCCGCAGCCCCAGCCCCGCAGCCCAGCCCCGCAGCCCCAGCCCCGCAGCCCAGCCCCGCAGCCCCAGCCCCGCAGCCCCAGCCCCGCAGCCCAGCCCCGCAGCCCCAGCCCCGCAGCCCCAGCCCCGCAGCCCAGCCCCGCAGCCCAGCCCCGACCCACACACGCCCCCCGCGTGCAGGCCTGGGCCGGCCTAGAGCCTCCGGGCTGCGCCTGCCTGGCCTCGGGCGGGCAGACACCGCGGGGGGGGGGGGGCGGTTCATGGGAGCTGGGAGCGGGGCCGGGCTCCAGGCCCGGTGGCCGCGGGGGCTGGACGTGCGTGAGCCGCGGTCCTCCGAGCCGCCCTGAGCCCTGTCTCCGCACCGGGCCCTCCCGGCTGCTCCCGACGCGCCAGAGGAGCTCGTCCCCGTCGCAGCCCCAGCCGAGACTCCCCTGCGGGCTGTGCCGGAGCAGCCACGTGCTGCTTCTAGTTTCCCGCTTGGGGCTTGGCATCCCAGACACGCGTTTCTAAGCAGCCCCCTCCCGGCCCCACCGCCCAGCGGCGCGCAGTGACCTTCACTGCTGGGTGTTGGTGAAAACCCTTATCAGACGGGAGATCTGCGGCCGGGCCTGGGGCTGAAGTCCGGGGTGCAGGGCCAAGGCTGCCGGCTGGTCCCCGGGGCCCCTGAGCTCCGCCCTGCGGCGCTGCTGGAACCTGCGCTGCGCGCCCCCCCAGCGCAAACCCATCTTCCTCCTTTGCAGATCGTCATTCCCAAAGGGGCGACCCTGCCAGCCCAGGAGCGTCGGGGTGGAAGCGGGCAACTCCTCTGTGCCTCGGTTCCCTGTCTTGAGAGCACAGTCAAAGGGAGGCCCGATGCGCAGGGCTCGGGGGAGAACCCGGAGACCCCAGCCCTGATCACGGGGATTGGTGCTCATCCCGAGCCGCCGGCCTGGGGGGGGGGGGGGGCAGAGGTGACAACTGTTCTGACCTGCCGAGGGCCACGCTCCGGCGCCCTTCGCTGAAAGAACTGTGCTGTCAGGGCACCAGGCGAGTCTAGTCCAGAGTGACAAAGCCCAGTGGGTGACGGTGTGGCGCCGGGGACCACGGGGTCGGCCAGGGAGGGGCTCGAAGGGCCCACGGTGCCGCCGGTGGACCGTCCCGCCCCTCGCTCGGTGGTGGCGGGGTGAGCTGGCCGCGACAGCTGCCGCGGCTCCTCGTTTGAACGGTGCCCGGCAGAGGCGGTGTCTCCGTTTTAAGTTACGTCTCAACAAAGTTGATGGCGCCCGGTTCATTGCCAAGGCCGTACCCGTTCAAGGCCAATTCAGAAGATCCAGACTCGGGGAAGCAGCCTGAGGGGATGGGGACTCTCCCCCCGTAGGACCCGCCCCCCATCGGCTGCCTCCGCTCAGGAGTTCGCCGGGGCCTCTGAACACGGCTGCCCGGACCTGCAGCCACAGGAGAGCCAGCTGCTGCCCCGCTCTGCGGGGGAAAGGCCGGGGCAGAGCTGGCAGCGACACCGGCTGGTGGGTGAGGGCCTGGCGGAGAGAGCACGTGGGCACCCAGGGAGGGAGCGATGATGCCTTTTAAAGAGGAACACCCCCCCCCCGCCCAGGGTTCCTTATAGTTAAAAGGCCTAAGCAGGGCCTCCCTGGTGGCGCCGGGGCTAAGTCTCAGCACTGTGAAGCTAGTCCCCCGCCAGGGAGCTACCCGCAGGGCGCAGCGGACCTCTCCTGTCTCCCCGCTGTCCCCTCGCAGTGGGTTTCAGTGGATCCACCTGTCTCTGGGGAATCCTCTCCCCCCAGTACACCTTTGGCCTATACCTCAGCTCTTCAACATAAAAATAAATTTTTAAAAATCTTTTTTTTTTTAAAGATTTTTTTATTTATTTGTACAAGCACTGGGTACAGGCCAGATGCGCAAGGGGTGGGGTGTGTGTGTGTGTGACAGGATTCACCAGAGCCAGAGCGGGGAGCAGAACAGGCAGAAGGACGGAGGTGCACTGGTGAGGGGAGCAGCGGGCGGCAGGAGAGGTCTGCGCGCCATGTGGGACCCTCAGCCGGCGGCCAGGGATCGAACCGGCGCTGCAGAGGCTGCGGGCAGCCTCGCAACCCAGTGCTCAACCGCTGCGCCACCAAGGGAGGCCCAATTTTTAAAAATCTTTAGAAGAAGCAAAAGGCCCGAGCAGCTGGGTGCTGCTGGGGTGGGGGCTGGCTGCCCGACGGGTGCTCGGTAACTCGAGAAAAGCGTGGTTATCACTATTCTCCACGCCACACTGAACCGTACACTTGTAACTGAACCGTACACTTCTACATGGCTGGTTTTGTGTTATGTGGATGTCACGCAAAAAAGAAAGCGACCCGCGGAGGGCGCCCAGGCCGGGGCGTGACCGGGCAGCGGGCTGAGGGGGCTGGGCTGGGTGGCAGGCCAGGCCCTGCCCAGGGCTGTGGACAGACGTCCCCGACCCCGCAGATGGGGCTAGCACGGTGTCTGTCACCCCCGCCCTGGATGTCCAGGTCGCCGTCCCCAGCCGTCCTCCAGAGCGGGCGGCGCGGCTCCGGAGACGCCCTGGCCGGGACAGGGTGGCG